GATGTCATTTGTCATCTTCAGCATTACACTTGAGGAAAAATATTTTGGTAATTAGATTTTGTAGAAAAAATATCTGTGATTATATTTTGAAGCCATTTTGCCCAGCACTTATTGAGGCCAGTCAAAATAAAGATGCAAAATAGATCAAATAATAGGAGCTTTCTAAAGTAATATTGTCTTATAATATAATATGGATTTAACAGGAGTGAAAGACTTCCTCAAAATACTGATCTAAAACTGAAACAACTAGATTTTAGAGCTTTTTGTAAATATTGGCTGAATTGTGCTTGAGTTGGGTCGGGACACATCATCCCTTTCGACGCTGGAAAAATGATCTAGAAATAAGTAAAAATGTCTTAAATTAAGTGCATTTACCCTTATTTTGAGTAGGTAAATAAGTAGATAAGTTTGCCAATAGGATGAGTATTTTCACTCTTAGTATAAGATAATTAGATAATATGCACTGGAAAAAAGACAACGCAATTGTTTTTTCTTATTTTAAATGTAAATTGTCTTGTTCAATTGGCAAATGTCTCATTTTTCCCCTCAAAAGTGAGATATTTATTATTTTAAGAAAAAATTACTTATTTAGATTAGATTTTTTTGCAGTGCAGTGACTTATCAGTAGCAGCTAGCCTGGAGTGGCTAATTAGGAGGACCTGAACAATTGGTCTGATTGGCGCCTTTAAATAATCTGAGTTCTAGCCCCACTCCCACAGACTGCCACTCTGGGTCTCTGAGCAAGACCCTTAACTGCTCCCCGGGCGCCACACACAATGGTCACAATGGCAGACCACTGAAGGGGTTGGGTTAAATGCAGAGGTAGTTCAATTATATTATTAAGCTTTCTTTGTAGAAACTCCGTTTCACAGATCTTCATCGCTTCAAGCCCAATACAGGCATTTGTTTTCAACGCAAACAATCACTAAAAAATGTCGCTAACTTCCAGCAAACCAACAGAAATGAGTCTTCAGTCCTCAGAGGAAATCCCGCCGCCAGAAGTGATCTGGAAAACGCAATATGAAATGAACGCAATTTGGAAAATTTGAAATTTGGGGGGGGAAAAAACCCCGATGAAATAATAGAAACTAAAAATAAATCTGTATAAAATTTTGAAAAACTTTAATGTGAAAAGAATCATGTTTTTGACAGGATGATCTGGTGAACTGTAAAGTGCATTGAGATGACGTGTTGTGAATTGGGGCTATATAAATAAACTAAATTTAACTGAATAATATTTTTTTTATTAAAAAAGCAGAAAAAGATAAGTTACTGTCTAAATAGGGCTGGGCGATAATTCAATAACGATATATATCGATCGATAGACGTGTAGCGCAATAGAAAAAAAGAGTCGATAAAAGTTCGATAAAAAAACGCAGTTTTCCTTCCTTCTCATTGTAGCCTAGCATGTAGGTTTATGCTAGTCACTACTTCCTCCTAACCAATCGCAATCGCGGACCCAGGCACGCCGTCACAAAGCGCCGCCCTCTCAAACTACAACACAGAGCACATGAAGATGTCGCAGCAAGGAGAGGCGGAGGAATTTGTTCCAAAGAAGGTTTTTGTAGTTCGCCAGTTTGGAAGTATTTCGGTCATGGCAAGTCGGACAAAAAACAAACCACAGTCATTTGTAAAATGTGTCGGGAACCAGTGAAAAGTCTGATAACACAACCAACTTTGTTTTTTTATCATCTCAGCCGCTCACAGCCGCAGGAGTACGAGCTGTGTAGGCCCTGACGCGGCTCTCCTCCGAGGAATCTTGGGGAATTTCAGGAAAATATTTATATATATATATATTCAGTTCTGGGCAGTTTCCCACGTAGTTCTAACAATTGAGAGAAAAATGCTGA